GGTTAGATTTTATTTTGTTATTTATCTCTAGGCTTATTTTAATTATTTAGATTTTCCTTTCATTAAAGTACCTCTTCATCATTTTTTTGAAGTGCCTGGTTACTTTTGGCTTTTCTACTTCTTTCACTCATTTTCATTACTTTCATTTCATTATTTTCTTTTTCTGTGGTTTTGTTTCTAAATTTGTCAGCGTAGGACATGGTAAAAAATAGAAACATGACTCATGCTGAGATACTAATTTAATTATATGCAAATCAAATAATTTAAGTAGAATTGTAAGGAGAAAAAACCTTACCAAAGATGAAAATGAGCCCACCTTTTCGAGCAAGGATTGACACCCTGCAGTGACCTACTTTGCCTGGCCTGTTTCTGCACTGATCTTTCGACTAAGCATGGTTTTTACATTTTTAAAGAGTGGTTTTTAAAAAAAGAAAGAAAGAATATGTGACAGAATGTGTGGCCTACCACACCTACAAAAAAATTCCATTTCTATAACCCATTAGAGAAAAAGTTTCTGTCTCCTGCTTCAGAGTATTTTCACATAATTATGAAACCTTGTGTAATTTACTAGGTTTTCATCCTAGTATGAATTGAAAGCTGCAAAGATTAGAGAAAAATGTTCACAGCTGAAGAAGGACTAAACTTATTAATAATAGGACATAAGCCTCGTCAGACAACTTAAAAATACAGGACAGGCCTTCAGGGTGAGGGGCAGGCCTGCCACGTGGTGCGTCTCTGCCCGGACTGGTGTTCTGTACTCGTTACTGGGGCCTGCAGCAAGGGGACCCTGCTCCCCGAGGGAAGGACGTCGGGAGTGCTAGTGCTGACTTTTAGCAGGAGGCCAGAAGGAGCCACACAGCTCCTGGTATCTGAACCACACTTCATCACACACATACAAATAGACCCCGCCGTGGCCAGCGTCTCAGTGGGCCAGAAATACCACCACTGGCAGCGAGAAACCCAGGCTGAGCGGCCCAGCGAGCTTCTGTCTTCCGCGTAGGCTGCCCTTCTCCACAGCAGCACTGGCCGCTCTTGGGGGGCGTGAACCGCGAGGCCGTGGAAGAAAGGAATTGCTTTTAGTCTGTTTAGGAGGGAACCCAAGGATCGCTGGGGCTGGCTGCTGGGCCAGGCTGCTCAGGGGCAGCACGCCCTGTTCTTACCTTGTGCAGACGAGTAAAAAGGGAAGGAGCGGTTTTAACACCACAGGCAGTTTGAGTGCGCAAGTGTTTTTGGGTAGGACAAATACTGTGTTGGAACAGGTTGCGTTGGGACTTAGGCCAGTTTAGCTGCCTCGTGCCATAGACGAGATAACATGGAACTGGAGAACTGGTCACAAAGGCTTAACGTATTCTGAACGTAAAAAAAATGAATTTGATGGTGCGAGCTCCTGGTACAAGTCAGAAGGCGCAGATGCGCCCCAAGGGGGAGTGATCCCCGCGGCTGCTGCTCCTGCCTGCCTTCCCTCCCAAGTGGCTGGCGGTGCCATGGGATTTGGGGGTGTTTAGTAGAAGACAGAACTACCCGGACTGCCGCGTCACTGGCACGATGCACGCCTTGCACAGAGGTGTGTGTGAGTGTGTGTTGCACATCTCTAGAAAGGGGCGGAGTCACCCCATTTCTTCACCTTCCCTTGTTTTGTTTCCCTGAATAAGTCACCTTAAAAGTTCCATGTACCCCTAGTGATTGTAGACTGGTGGTGCAGGTTTCATTGTATTTCACCCAGAAACTGCTGGACAGTGTTTGAACCGGTCTTCCCCTTATCTGTCGCCATCCGCCGGCCTTCAGTGAACCCCTTATGTTTGTGAGGCTTCTGCCTGCAAGGAGAGATGAGCTCGCTGTGTAGAGTTGGCAAAATTGAAGTCAGAACTGCTTCTGTGGTCCCTGGGTAGAGGGGTGCTTCAGAGCAGCTCAGGGTGGAAATCTGGTGGCAGGCAGGTGGTGTTTCCCCAGAACACCCTTGGTGCCGGTGGGGTCCCATTGGGGGTTTCTCCTGGGGAGGATAATGCACCAACTATGTTTCTTTCTGTACTTGCAACTTTTCAAGGCTTTGCTTGCTGGAGTGACAATATTTGTAAAATTAAGACTTTTTTTTAAAGATTTATTTATTTATGCATACAGAACTGGGGTACAGGCCAGAGGCACAGGGGCGGCTAGAGGGTTTACCAGAGACAGAGTGGGGAGCAGAACAGGCAGATGTACGAAGCACACTGCTGAGGGGGGCAGCGGGCGGGTCAGGAGAGGTCTGCCGTGCCATGTGGTCACCTCCGGGGCGGGCGGGAATCAAACTCATGCGGAAGCGGCTTTAGCTTCTCAGTGCTGTGCTTCAACCCTCTGCGCCACCAGGTCGGGCCAAATTAAGACTTTTTTATGAGAAATAAATTTAGAAAAATAGTTCCTTGTTTTTGTGTTGGCAGAATCTCAACACAATTTTCAGTTGTTTCCAGTGCTTCGTAACTTTGGCTTTCATAGCAGGTTCATACATGATGATGCCTTTTTTATAAATCCCCTTTTTTCTGCCAGTATGCGTTCTCAGTTGTTTTTATTCTTGCTAGCCTTGCTAACTTTTAAATCTCCCATTTAAATTCAAGTAGGGCATGTTTCTGTACGGGTGAGGGAATTATGAGGAACTGTAGCTTTTTCTTTTTGTTGTCAAAGGTACTTTTTTTGTATCTTTTTTTTGAACTTAGGGCTTTATAAGAATACTTACCTGAGAAATGGAAAATACAGGTGTGCCTGGGTGCGCAGGCCCGCGGGCGTCTCCCGGCCAGTGCCGCCCGCCCGGCTCTGAGGCCGCGCACGCGCCCTGGCCGCCACAGCCTCTGGTGCAGGCGAGCTCCCGTGCCCGTGTCGCCTTTAGCTGGGGCCGGAGCCAAGCCCCAGAGCTCCCTGGTGTGTGCGTGTGGCTCTCGCTGCCTCAGGTCCAAGGCTGGTGGGAGAAGGCTGTGTGTGCGGAGAAGAGGTGAGGCGGCTCTCCCGCCCTGCTGGGCCGCAGGTGCCTCGCCGGGCCTGTCTTCTGCTGGCCGCTCCCGGCGCCCAGGGCCCAGCTCCCGCTTGTCTGGTCTCCCACACGCGCTGAGCGAGCGTCCAGTTGATTGCTTTTACTGCGTGTGCTCATGTACAAAACCAGGAAGAATTCTTTTTAAAATTATGTTGTACGAGTCTGGGGAATGTTTGACTAATTAAAGACATCCTGTTCAGCACTGGGGAGGGGGGCATGCGGGAGGGCTGGTTTCATTTGAGGATGTTTTTCTTAAATGTGACTGAGGTTCTGATTCACTGGCGCAGAGCAGCGTGAGGATGAACCTTTTGCGCCCTGCTCCCGTCCTAGGGGTTAGTAGTGCAAGCTGTTCGGGGTGATTTCAGTAGGGCTGTCTCACAGGGAGTCACAGGTTAGGGGGAGAAGTTGCTTGGGATAAGTAATTTGGGGGTCTTCTTAGTGATTTCAAGGACAGTTTCTTTTTTCAGTAGATCTACTTCAGTTTCAATTTAAAAATCTTTCATCGCTTCCTTGCCCGTGAGACAGGCAGGCTAGGTGTGGGTGATGGGATCTCTGCGGGTGAATCAGGACTGCCATCGGGGTGCCCGGAGGGTGGGCGGCGCGGCCCTCCGGAGAGCCTGGAGACGCTGGGGAGTGTGCTCCCTTAAATTAAGATCCCTCACGGTCAGCTTCCATTTTGCAAATACCCTGTCACTGGCCCCTGGTGGGAGCAGAGGAGGAGTGGCCGGGAAGCAAAGCAGAGCGGCGGCCCAGAGCCGGTCCGAGCTCGAGCACCTTGGCCTGCGCTTGCCGAAGCGCCGCGAGCTCGGCCACTTTGCTGTCCGGGCGGCCGTTTGAGCGGGCAGCGCCACTGATGGGGCGCGCCCGGGGACACTGTCCTGCGGCCGCGCTGGCTCCGGCGCTCAGGTGTGAGGAGACCACGACTCCGTTGTTTGGAAGGAAGGTTGCCCCTCCTAGGAAGAGGGCCTGGCTCTGCGCGGGGTCCTGGGTCCTGGGGTGCAGGCTGCCGCCTGTCCTCCTTCGCCCTGATTTCGCAGTGCGCTCCCTCTGGCACCCCAGGGCAGAGAGCAGTTCTGGTGGCAGGCAGATTGTCCCACTGCGGTGCATTAAAAAATGTATTTTGGGATCTCAGTTTATGGTCTTGCGACTTCTGTGACCAAACCCACCTCACCTCCTGTTAGTTTGACAGAGCAGAGTAGGCTGCTTGAGTATTGTAGCTTACTGGCCAGACGCTTCAATTTTAGAAGACTTTCTTCAATACTATCAAAATCTTTTTTTTTTAAAGATTGATTTATTTATACATACAGAACTGGGGTACAGGCCAGAGGTCCAGGGGGGTGAGAGGCTTCACCAGAGACAGGGTGGGGAGCAGAACAGGCAGATGGATGAAGTACACTGCTGAGGGAAACAGTGGGCGGGTCAGGAGACGTCTGCCGCACCTGGCTGGGGATCGAACTCGTGCTGCAGTGGCTGCAGTAGTTTCATAGTGCTGTGGTTAACCTGTTGTGCCACAAGGGAGGGCCCAATAATATCAAAATCTTAATGTAGAAAATACCATACTTAGATTTCTACATAGGGTTTACAGGTTGCACTGTTATGTGCATACAGTATAACGTTTATACCCAGTTCAGTTCAGACAGGGGAAGCTGGGGGCCTCCCTGGTGGCCTCGTTAGGTCCCCGAGTACTGTCACTGCCATAGCCTTTGTCCCACCCAGGAGCTCGCCAATATGGCGCGGCAGACCTCTCCTGTCTCCCCGCTGCTCCCTCAGCAGTGTGCTTCCTCAGTCGGCCTGTTCTGCTCCCCGCTCTGTCTCCGGTGAAGCCTCTCACGGCCCCTGCACCTCTGGCCTGTACCCCAGTTCTGTATGCATAAATAAAATCTTTTTTAAAATATTATTTATCTTATACTGGGATAGAACTAGAAAGGCTCAAGCTGGAAATGGTTGCTGAATTCCTTTTCGAGCTGTTTTTATTTTTCATTAGGAGGAAATAAACTTCTTTTGTTTGGTTTCTGTACAGGTTCTAGTAAATACGGCTTGCTGTGTTTTGATGTTGGTGGCTAAGTTAATCCAGTGCATTGTATTTGGGCCTCTTCGAGTGAGCGAGAGACAGGTAAGTCCAGATTGCAGTGAAAGATTCTTGTCACCAGACTTTTTTTTTTAATCAGCTTTGCATTTGATTTCAAGCTTAGAGAAAAGTTGCACAAATACTGTAGAACTCCTATATACCCTTTATTCAGATACACAGTTAACATTTGTCTTTTACTGACTTTTCTGTGTTTTTCTGTTGTCTACATGTTACATAATCCTCATGTATAATCATATATATAACTCACTTTATATATAAATAGTACTTATGTGTACATATAGTACTTATTTAATTACTGTAGCCGATTGTCCCAATATTGTTTCTAGCTAACATCCTCCAAGACTTTTGCAAATGTAGTCTTAACAGAAGTACAGATTTGTTTCAGTTTGAATGATCCTCAGTACCATTCTTTAGAGGATGTGTTCTTTTCCAGTGGAATTTGCTAAGAAATTTTTAACCCCTCTAGGAAAGTAAATTAGCATGCTTCATTCTACAAGCAGAAAATTGGGCGGCTTGTCTTGGTTCTAGTGAGCTGGTATGATATTGACAGTTACTCTCAGAGTGAATATTTGAAGAGGAACTGCTTTCAATGAAGAACTATGTCCCAAGCACATGGTATAGACTGGCAGTTCCCTAAAAGTTTTAGTGGCCAGAGTGTAAAATATGAATTTAAAATATGAATTTAGAACTGACCTTCAAAACAATAGCACACAAACAAAACTGCTTTGACTACGGGTACGTTAAATCTACAGCTGTGACCCCCTCCTTCCCTGCCCTGTCAGCCCTCGTCTCTTCTGCCCAGGTTTAGAGCAGACCTGTGGTCCTGAGCCCTGGACGTGGGTTTCAATAGGTTTATTTGTTTTTCAGGAGATTATGTTCATCACTGAACATTCAGCAATTTCTCCCAAATAGCCACTCCAGCCATCTTCCCGATGACTTTAGTAGAATATAGAGGCTTTTGGGGGTAGTGGACAAAACTCCTTTGATATTTCCCTCCCCTTCCAGAAAAACCTTGATTTGTGGGCCAGGCCTTGGTCAGGCAGGCGGGACGTCTAATTGCTGGTAGATAGATGAGACACCAGTGGCTCTTACATGCTATTTTTTTTTCCCTAAAATATCAAGTGTCAGTCATATGAAATTTATACAGAGACTTCTTACATGATCAAGAGACACCCATGAAAGTCCCATTTATTACTGTGCTCTGCTTTGGTTTTCAGTGTGGATCACGTCTTTCATGGGCCCCTGTCGGTTTTTTTTTTTTTGACTAATGTCCTCCACTAGCGTTTCTTGAGCACATTTTGAGTTAGAATGCTACAGACATGGACTGAAAGTTCAAGAATAGCGTAACGCTAGATGCAAAGACATTGCGTACCTCAACCGAAACGTAATAAACTGTTAGGTAGCCGTTTAGAGCAAGGCATTTTTTTCAAGCACTTACTGCCTTGCCTTCTCTGACACTTGTCTGAGCACTGTACTTACACTCACTAGTTCTCCAACAACTCTGTAAGCTGTATCCTTTGTCAAAGGCCGGGGCCCCTGAGCACAGCGATGTTACGTGACTTGTGCCAGGTCGCCCTTCAGAGAGACGGGGGGCTGCAGGTTCAGAATGAGGGTGCCTGGTGCCCTGGGTCAATCTTGTGCTTTATCTGCCCATACCTGGAAACCGGAAGCAGACATCTGTCAAGGATACCTAGTTTGTCTGTTTTCTACAGAAAGGCTATGTAGTCAGATGTGTATGTAAAAGTTCTCAAAATAATTCGTATCTTGAGTTATGTCATTCATTTATTCATTTCAGTTCACCTTTTTTTAGTCAGTTTTGCTTTTTTGCCCATTTATTTTTCAATTTGTGAAGCATTCACAAATCATTCAAACCTATCTATAAAAGTCTACTTAGAAGTCCTGTTTTCACCCTTACCCGTCTCCCAGATCTCACCGCCCCCTCCCCTAGCTGGGCGGACATGCTGGCTGGAGGCCTTCCTCGCCCTTTGCCCTCAGGATAGTGCAGAATTTTAAGACTGGGTGTCCTCAGGCAAGAAGGTGTAAGCGGAGGTCGGAGGTCGTGCTGCTTAAGGGGATGTGCATTCATGCTTTGTGTAAATCAGGAGGATGTTAGAAACTATGGGAATATTTATAACATTTGATCCAATAATGGCCAAGTTAGAGAAACTTAAGATGATCATTGCAGTATTTTCTGACAGATAAAAATGAAACCCCAGTCAGTGTCTATTCTTATCGCTAAGCGGTGTGTTCAGCAGGCTCTCAGTGGCGCTGGGACGGCCTTCACAGTGTGATGCACTGCGCAACACCTCGTGCTGTGCACCCAGGGAGAATGCAAGAAAGATGCATTAAACCTTTAGGCAACATTTGTGTTTTGTTGTTTGTTTTTCATACTTTATTCATCATATGCTGGCAAATGAATATATGCTCTTTTATACTCTGAAGGATTTTTCTTTTTGTTTTAAAAAAAGAGCCAAAGTCAGCACTTAATTTCTAGGTGTCTTCCCTGTTCTTGAGAGAACTTAATATCTGTTTGTTTATGGACGAGTGTTAGAAAGCTGAGTATAGGGTATTTCTTCCATGGGAGGCAACTTTTGCTGTTAATTTTTCCAAATGGTGTAGGTGTGATGGTACTCACCTTTTAACATTTTTTTTCCCCTTAGCACCTCAAAGACAAATTTTGGAATTTTATTTTCTACAAGTTCATTTTCATTTTTGGCGTGCTGAATGTCCAGACGGTGGAGGAGGTGGTGATGTGGTGCCTTTGGTTTGCTGGACTTGTGTTTCTACACCTGATGGTTCAACTCTGCAAGGACCGATTTGAATATGTGAGTTTGGGGCCCGGCTCCTTGCTCACCAGTCACAGGACTTCAGGTCTGTGTGGTGTAAGGTGAATGAGCCCAGGGCGCTCAGGGTAGCTCTCCACAGAGGACTCCTGGTGGGTCTCGGTAGCCATGGCCTGCTACTCGGGGGACTTTCTGCTGAACCCAGGGGACACAGGGTCAGCGCCCCGAGCAGCCCCTCCCCTGCCCAGAACTACATTACGTCGCAGGGTCATTTCATCCACACGAGAAAGCCACTTTGAATAAAAGCTGGTCTCCCAGATACCCGTCTGTCCTAGCCCTGCATGTTCTCATCTCTTGCTGTGATTTCCTGGAGCTCTTCTTTCTGACTAGTTTCCTCGGGTAAGGACTGAGTTAAGTCTCTTTGCGTCCTTGGTCCCCAGACAAGTGAACCCTTTCCTGTGGGTGAGATTCTCGGCCTCAGAGCTGTGCAACCCTCACGTGTTTGCGCTTCTGAGCCACTTCACGGGCCCTGGGTAAGGTGCCATGCATTTCTGCCCCGTGATGAGTGCGCCCCGCCCCCTGCCCACCCCTCCACCCCCAGCCTTGCTTGTGCCTTGCTTTACCCAGTACTCATGGCCTATGCACCACTGTCTGCATTAATCTCAGAAAGGATTTAACTGTTTCCCAACTCA